TAAGCGTGCAGTCTGCCAAACTGCACGTGGTAGCTGGCTTATTGATAAGTTTATCGTCCCGTACTTGCCTGTCACGTTTCCTTAACGAAAGCTTTCAGAGTTACTGCTCATATAAATCTCTAAATGGGTAAATGTCTGTCTGACAAGTAGAAAATGTTGAAAGGCGATAACAAAAGGCATGTAGAGGATCTGTTATGCATAATAGGTATGGCTTTTGGTAAATGTGTGTTTTTGATGTGGAAAGTATTTCTAGGGCTCAGGGTGTTAGCTTGTGTGTTGAGTACCTACATTTTAAGTTACTCTGCTGAGGTTAGAAGCATAGGTGATGTATTTCAGCTGCAAAATGAAGTGTATAGGGATTTTATTCTAGCAATTTTGTTGGTATTTTTTTACTGAGACATTTCTAACCACACGAATTCAAGAGTCGGCTGCACTCTTGATTTATAGTGGGGGAGGAGAGGGGAAGTGGGAATTGGTGTAATATTCACTTCCTTCAGAGTAGCTTTGCCTTTACTGCTTCTAATTCTAGACCACCTTCGTGCTTATCCTTTGCAAACCCTGCGTGTTGGGCAGGGCAGAGCTGTGGAGTTGGAGTCAGCGGGTGCTTGTGTGGTTGGCCGGGGGAGGCTTGCATCTAACGCAGAGGTTATTTGTCCTTTACACGTGTTCAACGTAAGTCTCTGCATGATCATCCGTAACCTCTTCTGTCTTCATTTCTTGAGTTGTAGGAAACGGGGAATGCGCCCGGGTGGGTTTGGGCGAGCGCCTTGTCGGGGGAGATCTGGGGAGGTACGGAGGCCTCGCAGCAGCTGTGAAGAGCAGTCCCGGTGTGGTTTGACACATGATGGAACCAGACAGTATGTGCAGGAATTTGGATGTAATGTCAGGGGTTTAAACTGTAATTCAGGAAGTATAAAGGCACGAGGTAGATGTGTGTGTCAGCGAGCAGTGCTGGGAGGGGTCGAGCACGAAAGTGGTCTAGCAGGGCTTGGTGGCCATGGGGGACTTGTGTCTGGGAGGAGACCTGCTGGTGGGAGGGCATGGAGAGACCCTCGGGAGAGCAACTGGAGTGGGGGTTTAGGGAGGTGGACAAAGGAGAGTCTATTGCTGCCTCCTGTGTCCGGGACTTGTAGCTCTCCTGATCTTCTCATGAACCTCACTGGAAGCACAGGTGCCCGGTTTCTCACCAAGAAACTCTCGTCACACAGATCTCAGAGAGCAAAAACTTCCCGTGTTCGTTTTAGGCTTATTTTCTGAGGTGCTGCACAAAATCATGTGCCTTGGGAACCCAGTTCTCCTTTCAAGGTCTGGTTGTAAAATTGGGTTTTAAAAGCAGACGGTCTTGAATAAGTCAGCACGCAGAAGGATTATTTTCAGGGGTGTTGTGACCCGATAGCTGCTCCGGGGTATAGTGTGACTGGGCCCTTTCCTCATGCCTCTTCTGATGTCCCATCGTTGACTCAGCCTTATTCCGGCTTTTCCCTCTGCTCTGCGTTTAAAAAGTGGTAAGGGTTTGAATAGTGGTGCAGTTGGCGTGGAATTGGGGGTGAAGCCACCTGATTAGGCCCGGTGGCTTTCCTCCCTTGGTGGCCTGGCGTGCACTCCTCGGGAAGAAGGGCGAGTTAAGATTACCCTGTTTTTACCTGCTTACTCGAGCCTTTCATCTTTCCTCTGTTAATTAATGCTAACTGCTCTGGTAGTGCTCTAGTTCTAAAGTGAAAATCAAGAACGTGCTTGTGGGTTTTGAGTATTATTTTAAAACAGGTTGTAAACGCCATGGTGGCCTTCCAGAAGAAGCTCCTTCTGGATCTTCCCAAGTGAAGTCCAGCATGAGGTGTGGTGCCATGGCTGTTGGAGGCAGGGCTGGAGCTCGTGCTGCAGCACACATGCTACGACGGTGGAACCGGAACGGTGATCCAGTTACTCTGACAGTTGTCTACCAGCAGGACTTCTGCAGGAGGAGAAGCCTCTCGGTCACATGCGTGTCAGCTCAAGTGCTGGGAGTCGTAGGCTGTTGGCAGAGAAATGCTGGAAAAAGGGACCCATGGGTGCTCACGTCAATCTGCTAATACTTACGGGTGGTAACAGTTTGGGTAGAACATGCCAGCATGGTTTGAGTCCGAGAGGCAGACAAAAGCTTCAAAATAATTCTTGGAATTACTGTCAGAATTCTTCAGAACGCTCCGAAAGTTCCTCAGACTGTGTCCATGTGAATGACCTTTGCTTTTCTTTATTCCTCCTTCCCTCTCTCATCCTCAGAGAGATGCCTTACCATCCTCTCCGCTCCGGTTCTCTCTTAGGAAGAAATTACTGATAAGTGTAATACGGAGTTAATAACAGCCATAATTTATAAACAGAGGGGAGGGAGCATGCTTACAAATGTTCCTTAATGTTTTTTACCAAGGGCTTTTGGTAAGAGTAGAGATCCAATTCAGTGTTAGAAAAACCAGCGCTGTCTAGCACACGGGTAGTTTATAAGGACCTAAGTAAAATAAAAGAAAATACACCCTGCAACTTTTGGAGGTCGTCTTTAAGCTACTGGAACAAAACCTTATTCTTAAGGGAGACTTTCCAGGCTTCCAGAGTGTTTTAAATGCTGTCCACCCAACTGAAAGCGAAGCCAGGGAGGGTTGCAGTGGCTTAGGAGGAGAGGATTTTCTTTTTCAAGCGAGTTTGCTAACCCGGAGGAAGAGGCAGTATGAAAGTTTTGCTTCCGTTTTCTACTTCTGTTAATTTAACTAAAGCTGATGACCTACAAATTTACTGTGAAATACTGTACAGCCTAGGTAAACTCCTAAATGGCTGCAGTGCAGATGTGTTCAGAAAGAATCATTGCATCCAGCACCAAGTGCAGGTTTTTCTGCTTGCTGGGTTTTTGGTGGTGTGGGTATTTCCCAAGCTGCTCTCGGTATCTTGCAGTGCTGCGGTGGTTGGTTGTGGTGAAGAGCACCGATCCGGTCTCCCTCTGGAAGACAGACCAGCGTGTTTCTGCAGAACCGAGAGCGCCCGCTGGGAACGGTCGTTCCATGTGTGCGTGTCTTATCGCGAAGGTCTGGGTGGGAGGCTGGAGTAGGGGAAGTCCTTTATTCGGACAGCCTTCCTCCCTCCTCTCCCAAGGGCGTCCTAGCCACAAGTGGAAAGTTCCCTGGAAGTTCCTTTTTTTTATTGCCCCACCTCCCCCCTGATTAGTCATGTTCAGTCTTTCTTTATGGACCCAAATGGTGACTAAAAGCCACTGTCAGTGAGTATGCGGTAAATTTTTAGGCGTGCTGGATCCTTTTTTCAGTAGGGACAAGGTATAGCTGATTACAAAATACACGCAGTTCTGGCAAGAGGGGACTTCTGAAGTCTGAACCCACCTCTGGCGTCTCTGCACTTCTGTTCACAATAATTGTGATTTTTTTCCTTTAATCAGTCACTCTGTGTGTGTATGTCCCTTCTTCCCTGTCTTTACTTTGTGTCACCTAACTGGGTTTGGCGGGAGAGTGAGTTGGCAAGACTGCGGATGGTCTTGAGTTGTAGACCCCGTGAGGGACCTGCTAGTTGGCCATTGTACGTGCTCATTGGAAACCAAACAGAGCAAGTAACTTTGAGCTTGTCCTGTGGGCCTTCCCTCGGGGGGGGTGTGGGTTTGTTTCTCTCGCTCATCTCTGACTTTCACAAAAATTCAGATTTTAGTACTTGGTGCTTTTCAGCCCTCCTGCCTGTGGTCCCCATTATGGGGAAGCACCTGGTGTGACTCTGGGGAGCAACTGTAGTGCAGCTGAATGAGGCTGGAAACAAAACTGGCAGTTAACTTTTTCTCGTTCAACTTATTCAAACTTCAGATAGTACTCACTTTTCCTGTAAAGTGGTATATTACTTTGGTCATTAGGCTGCGTTAGTGAAATTAGAGGATCGTCATATCAGGGAAGAGATTGGGTCAACTTCTTATTAAATTAACATTGAAATAGCTTGTGAAGGTGCTAGATAAATTTTGCAGCAAAAGGAAAATAAGGCAACTATTGCACTGTTAGCACAGCCTGAGCTGCGGGTTATGAGAATGCAGTTAAAAAAAAGAAAAAAGGCATTAAAAAACCCTGACACTTTTTGTGGTAAAGAAAGTAGGTAGATGACCAGAAACTAGGAGGTGATGGTGCAATATATGTGAATGAAAGGTCTATGGTTATTCCTCTTGTTTGACCTAGTTGAGTTAAGCCACGGCTTGCTGTTACAGTCAGAGAGCAGAACTGCTCTGTCATGGCCTGCATGTGGGTTAATCTTTGTCCATGTTCTTGAAAGAGAAATGGGAATAGCTAACGCTGGAAATCACCTGGCTTATTCGGAAACGTACTTCTGGGAAAGCAGGGTTCATATACGCCAGGGAAAGGACTTTCTGCAAATCCAGGGTTTTCAGGGAAGCGGTGGGGTGGCCGGTGGGTGTGGGGGTGGTGGGGTTTCTGTAGTCGCTGGGAGTTTAAGCACATGGAGATTTGTTGTCCTCAAGCCCTGTCTCTGTTACGTGCTACAGTTCTGATTTGTCATTTTTAATGCACCTGAGCTGGCAGTAGAAGCAGTGAAAACGGTTCTATAGACGTAGCTCAAGGATTTTAAAGATGAAGTTGGTGAGCTGCTGGCATTGAGGAATAGGTGTAACCAGGGCCAGACCTTTCGTGAAGGCCTGGGAGGACGCTGGTGTGCTCGGTGGATGGGCTGAAAGACAAGAATAGTGTTTACAGGCCGGCCCTAGCTCTGGGAGACCCTGAGGACCAGCCTGCGTGTTGCTACTTCTGGTTTTAGCTGCCTGGTGCCCGGATGGCTCCGCTGAGCGCAGGGCTGGTGGGCGCGGAGGGAGGGTGCCGTGCTGAACGCGGCGCTTGCGTGGCTTTACCAAGAGCGTGGAGTCAATAAGGCTCGCTGCTCTTGTCCGTCGTGCTTGTTTTATTTTCTGTGAGTGCAATGCCTAACTTTCTCTTCTCCCTTCCCTTCTGTAGGCTGCCCTTGGGAGAGGCAGTGGGAGGCAGTGGAGCTGGCCTCGGCACCGGGAGAGGCTGGACTTCCCGTCTCTCTGTGCTGAATGGCTGCGATGGCGCCCGCTCTCACTGACGCAGCAGCTGAAGCTCACCACATCCGATTCAAGCTGGCTCCCCCGTCCTCCACCTTGTCGCCTGGCAGTGCCGAGAGCAACGGCAACGCCAACAACATCCTCCTGGCTGCCAACGGCACCAAAAGGAAAGCCATTGCTCCGGAGGATCCCAGTTTAGATTTCCGAAACAACCCGACGAAGGAAGAGCTGGGCAAGCTGCAGCCGCTAGTGGCCTCTTATCTCTGCTCGGATGTAACGTCTGTTTCTTCAAAAGAGCCTCTGAAGCTGCAAGGAGTCTTCAACAAGCAGACAGTCCTTAAATCTCACTCTCTCTTATCTCAGTCCTTCTTGAAAACAAGTGATCTGTTGGGGAGGCAACCGGTGTTGGAATTCACTTTGGAGAATCTAAAAACAATGAGTACTAATAGCCAGCCACCTCTCCCACAAGCGCCTGTAAATGGCTTGGCCAAGAAATTGGCCAAAAGTACCACTTCAGACCATGAAAACTCTAGTTCTCTGAACGGTGGGAAGTGTGCTCCTCCTGCTGCTGCCCTCCAGGGAGTTGACTATAATGTGGGAGGTTCTGAATTGGGGGATTTGAAGACCGGGTTGACCAATTGCATTCTTCCACATAGAAGCCTTGATGCAGAGCACACAACTCCATTTAGCAATAATAGCACTGCAAACAAATCTTCCCTTAATTCCACGGAGCAACAGCGAGTGCTCGAGGGTGGCGGTGGAGAGACTAGGTTGCCCGGTGTTGCTAGTCACACTGACTTTGGGAGCAGTAAGTTGGAGGAGCAGAAACCTTCTCTGTTGGCCGGTCACCACAGTGCTCTCGACTCCGAGATGAGGACGAGGGCATTGCTGCGACGGCAGGCAGACATCGAGAACCGTGCCCGCAGGCTGCAGAAACGCTTGCAGGTGGTGCAGGCGAAGCAGGTGGAGAGACACATCCAGCAGCAGTTGGGTGGCTTCTTGGAGAAAACTCTGAGCAAGCTTCCAACTTTGGACCCCCTGAGGCATCGGAGCCAGCTGATGTTGACCAGAAAAGCAGAAGCAGCCTTGAGGAAAGCTGCGAGTGAGACAGTTACTTCAGAAGGCCTAAGCAGCTTCTTGAAGAGCGATTCGATATCAGAAGAACTGGAGAGATTCACGGCCAGTGGTATGGCCAACTTGAGATCCAGCGAGCAAGCGTTTGACTCGGATGTCACTGACAGCAGCTCGGGAGGAGAGTCTGATGTTGAAGAAGAAGAACTGACCAAAGCAGACCCAGAACAACCCCATGTACCACTGTAAGTAGCAGTCAGGCTTTGCTTACGTCTGGTGGGGAGAGAGCGAGGTGGAAGGTGGTAGGTGGAAAATCTGGATTTTATAGGAACACTTCTTTTTGATGGGCTTAGATCAAAGAAGTAATTGTTAAAACTAGTGTGGTGTGATTTGCAGCACACTCAGGCAGCACATGCAACACAGAAGATAAAATTCTTTGTGCACGTGGTAGTCGTTGTTCTTGTGGAGCAGCAGCAAGTCCTGGAAATACTGGCTGGCTGGAGTGGTGCAAGTGTGCTGCAGATACAAACCCACAGTGCTATAAACAGTTCTCTCCATGATGCGTTGGACCTGTCCCCTGAAATGAAACATTTATCTCTTTACAATGGGAATCTTTGTTGGAAACCAGTTATGTAAAGTAAGGCCAGTCTGAATCTTTGTAGCTGACAACGTACTTGTGATTGGGGAATTATTTTTTTTCGTTAAACGAACTGCCTGGGAAAAAAAACTCTTGAGAGGATTTGGTCCAAGTGCCAGTGGAAGTGTGAAGTGAGTGTGTTCTCTTCTTGAATCTGGGAAATTATTGTTGGGAATTTTCTTCTTGTGTGTGAGCTGCATTAAGCGATGACAACAGCCTCATAATTACGTTGTTAACTGGATGCTGTTTGCATAAGTATTAGGTGTCAGTTTGTGTGCGGAGGAGGAAGATCCTCGTCAAGGCAAAAGGTCTTGAGATGGGTCAAGGAAGAAGGGAAATTTTTCTTCCAAACACAAGAATTTTCCCTAATAGTGCATATCACAGTATTCTGCCCAAATCTTTTAAAAGGCCGTGTTCTGTGTCTGGTCTGTGTAAAATCTTGCTTGCATCAGTAGATGAGCTCTTCCACCCTGATGGACCTATTGAACTCAAACCTCAGTCTGTGAAGCATAGCTACGGTCGACAAAACGCTCCCTGCCGCAGTCACAGGGGTCCTGCTGGGAATGCGGACGGCTTTCCGGTCGAGGCTGGAAATAGTCACCAGGACTTTTGCATATCTGTGCTATGCTGGGTTTGTTCAGATCTCTGTGGAGAAACAACTGAATGGGTTTTGGTTCCTGTTGTCCAAAGTAATGTTAATGGCTGGCCAAGTGCTGCGTGACGCAGATTTTACTGAACTAGGTAGGTGGGCATGAACTCTGTGTGTACTTGGTAACTTCAGCATCATCCAAAAACACACTCATATGGATGAGTGCTGATAAACAGATGTTACTGCTCTTGAATATTAATTTCCAGCTAAATGTCACATTGTGTTTTGGACTGTTAGCATAGGATGAATTTCTGTACGTGAAGTCTTAAACGTGGCATGAGTTCGGCTTTCTCCCAGCACAAAGCTCATAGCTGAGCGTGTGATCCCTGCTGGCTGGACATAAAGGGCTTCCTGTGCTGCTAGAGAAGGGAGTTTAATAATTTTATTCCTGTTCTATAATGTCCACAAGCTTACTGTTGGGATTAGTAGTAAAATTGCATTTGAAAGTATTGTAATTGTTATTAGAGGAGACATTTGATTAAAAATTCTGTCCAAAGTAGTATTAAATTTCCCATATTGTGGGTTTCATAGATTAGCGTGTTGTCTAGCAAAGTGAAATTTCTTTGCCACTCATCTTAATCCCAGGAGGAAGTGTGGTATTCAGAGACATGATGCATGAAATTCTTTGCTGACTTTTCTGCCCTTCATGTTAGTCATGCCTTTACATTCCCCAACTCTCAAGTACTCTTAAAAAGCCAAAGATTTTAAAGCTAATAAAAAGAATGATCCTTCTGTTGTCTGTAGGTTCAGAAGTTGGTGTGTATGCACACTGGCATCTAGGCCAGGCCCACCAAACCTTGTTTAAAGCATGTGCCTGTGGGTATTCAGTAATTAGTCTTCCCAGCACTGGCTGTCCAGTTGGCCGAGTGCTTTGACGTTGGGTCTCACGAGCGCGGGCACTGCTGACGTTGAGGCTGAAGGCACATTTGTGCTTGTTAGCGAAGCTCCCGAAGTCAGCCCTAAGAGCTGGTGCACGCATCTGAGTGCTGCTAAATATCATTCTTTTCAACGTAGCGCTCGGAGACGGGAAGGGGAAGAGCTGACTTTTCCCCTGGGAAGGCGCCATGGGCCAGCGCATTGTAGAGAACCAATGTGACGTTTCTGTGAGCACAGGACAGCGAAGGCTTCTCGCAGGGTTGCTCAAGTATGGCTGGATTTTGCAGCTTGCTGAATGTACTTATGAGAGGGAAGACTTTTACCCTGATTGTTTTAATTTCGGTAGTGAGATGGGATATCTTAATGAGTGTGAAAACCTCTGTCTCATCCCTTGGCTGTGTGTTGTTCCTGGGTGCCCCTGCCTTCCCCGAGAAGCTGCCTGCTTGCTTCTAGACCTTTAGTGAGCGCTTTGCCACGAGCGGCGTGTCTTGTAGCTTGCTTGCAGTGAGTGGCCATGGCACTGACTGCATCTTGGATTCAGGTAGAAGCATGCAAAAGAAACAAAGATGTGTTTGCATCATGCTTAGATAAGGGCTGACCTTTGAGTTTTTCTGGTGTGGTGGCATTCCAGAGTCGATATCTGGTCAAGGACAGACTTGGAAGCATTTGTAGTGTCCCAGCCCACCTGATCTTGGCTGTAGAGCATCTCCCTGAGGAACTGCCGCTTCCCAGTAGCGTTAGGGATCTGTCGGATCCCTTTTAAAGCACTCGTAGATCTGCTGCCCAGGAAGGTGCTGTCATTCAGGTGCATAACCAGGCCATCGTGTAACGCGTAAACAAAGCAGGGAGGGATTCGTTACACCTTTCTTGGGAGGCTGTCAGCTATGGGCTTGGTTTAACAAGGCGCTCTTGATTCTCACGCTGCCGGTGGGGAAAGCAGGCGCGTGCAGACAGGGTCGGTTCACGATGCGCGCTTGGGTTTGTGTGGATCAAGGACCACCGTGTCACGTTTCATTTGCTCGCAGATTGATAATCTGCAACTCTTTGTTTCACAGCTAAGATCCTCTCACGTGTCTCTTCAAAAGCGTGTGCGGTGGCAGAGCTAGGAGCAAAGAGGAGCTTTGCCCCTGCTCGGTGGTGGTGAGGGCAGGTTGGAGCCTCCCCTGTGAACTTCCTTGGCTGGGTGTGACCGTGGGCAGCGGCCGTCTGCGACTGCGAAACCTGTGCTGCGCTGGAAGAGCTGTTGTCAGCGCGGTAGATCAGGAACTGCTGTTTGGGAAAGGTGGCTCGGAGCAGGGCAGGTGAATTCCTCCCAGTGCTGGAGGGCTGCTGGCTGCGCGGTGCTGTAGCAAGTAGTCAAAGTCCTGGTGTTTCTGTGGCCATGTGCTAATACGTGTAAGTAGGAAATATTTCATGTGACTTGTGCGTCTTTGTAGTAGTTGCTTTTCTCAGGCTGGTTAGTTTCTTTGGTTGTCTTGCATTTTACTGTAGAAAAGTTTCATCAGAATTTGTCAATTATTTTTGTGAACGCAAACTGCCATTATCTAATGAACGCTCCGAACAAAGACTGTCTCTGGAGTTTCAGCACTCCACCCTTTTTCTGCTCAGGCAGCAAGTGGTGCATGTCCTTAGGAACCTGGACAGGCTTTTCCAGGGAGGAGAAGACTTTGTGTGTAGTGAAGTAAAGATAAGGGCTGAGGAGTTGTTGGGTTCTACCAAGGCAGGGAAAGGGTAAAGCCTGGGGAGGAGGGAGAGAGGGTGAGCAGCCCGTGTTTTGATTTGTGGGCCTCCCTCCACCCCCCCCTTCCATGGAGTTTTCCTTTTCTGGAAAATGAGATTTTTCTGGAGCTGTTTTTTGAAGGTGGGTCAGTGATATCTCTTCCCGCCCCCGTTTAACAGCACCTGGTTTTTGCATATTTTTGTTTGATTAGTTACTTAGGTTGAGCAGCAACATAGTTGTTAGCTGGTGAGTGGTATGTGATTTAGTCTCTGTAATCACCAACTGCAGTCAGTGTACCATGGAAAAAATGTCTGAAAAGGTGGCGAAAACAAATATTTAACTGGAACTTTTCATTCGGGTTTCTTATCTGGAAAGTCACTATTTTGATGGCAGTTACGTGAGGCGGCTGAGAGTGAAGTGTTCCCAGTGACTGAGCTGCTCACACCAGCTTTTACGAGGGTCAGAGAGTACCCGCAGTGCGTTCAGTTGTGGTTGTTACGACGCCTATGGCCATGATGCCTAAGCACACTTTAATTATCCCCATTTACTGGTGGGAAATCTGAGCACCTTCTGCACTTTGGTGTTGCAGTGAATCATTTTCCAGTCTTGGAGCCCCTGTGTTGACTATTCCCTGTGCTGCGTGCATTTTGGAATGGCTGGACTTGGAGTAGTGAGGAAGATTTCTGGCTGATACGTGCTTTTGTCAGCGCTTATCTCCAAGTCCTGAGTTGGAGAGGGATGCGTGTGGCACTTGTATCCGTGGCTGTTCGAGGGGTAGTTGCAGTTAGTGCGCCAGTTGACTGAGAAATAGGATTTAGAAACTCTGATTTTTCTCCCTTGATTATATTTTTCAAGAGAGAGCATGAGAAGGAAGGCTGTATCTCAAGGGCTGTTAAATAGCATTTCTCAAATCTGGCTTCACGCAGCTGGAATTCGTATGGCAAATCCCATGCTCTGGGGACTAAGGAAGCGTTTCCAACTCATCACAAACGCGTTTCACTGACTCCGATTTGTGCAGAGCAATCCTAGAAGTCTCTCTCTGCTCTTTCTGATTTTTTATTTTTCTTGTTCTTGACTTCTAGCTGTACTTGTAGGTACTGACAGCAGCACAGTGCTTAACCTTCTGTTTTTCAGCTATTTATGAAAGCTTGCCTGTGTCGTACCTGAAGTGCCTGTAATCCATGTGCTGCTCAGCAGCGATGCTGGTCAAGAGAGACGTCCCTCAAGCGTCTTTCATTTGGAAAGAGAGAAATAGAGCAAATCCTGAACATGTTCTTGCTTTGCATTTGAAAGCAGAATAGCAGAGAGCAGTTCATTGTTCAAAAATGCTTAATCAGGTATCCAGAGTAAGTAGGACACTCTG